TTTCTTCAAAGCACTCAAGGGAAATAAGAAGTACATATCATGGACGGAGGAATGTGCCAAGGCATTCAGGAACCTCAAATAGTACATGAGTAAAGCCCCTCTGCTCTCCAAACCAGAAGTTTGTGACACTCTCATTATCTATCTATATGTTTCGGCTTCAGCAGTCAGTTCTGTTCTTATTCGAAAGGACAGTGGTGTCGAACGGCCCGTCTACTACGCTAGCAAGGCCCTACAAGATGGGGAGACACAATACTCCAACATTGAGAAATTAGCTTTAGCATTGGTCATGTCTGCTCGAAAACTTTGCCCTTATTTCCAAGCACACGCCATCATCGTGCTTACCAATCACCCTCTTCGACAGATACTCCAGAGTCTTGACACGTCTGGGCGAATGATCAAATGGGCGATAGCATTGGGTGAGTTTGACATCTTCTACCAACCAAAACCAGCCGAAAAGGGTCAAGCAGTAGCATATTTCATCGCCGACTTCACATATCATGTTGACATTACTTCTACACCTGAAGCAATAGCTTCATTACCATCGGAAGCTCAGAAGATAGAATCAACAACCCCAGCATGGAGTCTGTATGTTGATGACTCATCCAACCAACAGGGTTACGGAGCAAGATTAGTCCTCACTACCCCCGACAAAGTGGCGATAGAATACGCTATTCGTTTCAAATTCAAGGCGTCGAACAACGAGGCTGAATACGAAGCCCTTCTAGCAGGCTTACATTTGGCCAAACACCTTGGGGTTAAACAAATTGATATCTTCAGTGACTCCTAATTAGTGGTCAACCAAGTCACGAACAACTTTGATGCTAAGGATAGCTCCATGGCAGCATATCTTAAGCAAACACGACTTTTGCTCAAGCATTTCCACTACCAGATCACCCAAGTTCCTCGAGCGGCAAACAGTCATGCAAACGCTTTGGCTCGCCTCACCTCGGCAGTGGAAGATAAAATTGGGAGAAAAATTCATGTCGAATTGTTGGCGGCACCAAACACCATGGTCGCGGAAGTGTGCAATTTACAACAAGGAGATAGTTGGATCACCCCAATTTATAAATTCCTTGCTCATGGCATCCTCCCAAATGACAAAGTCCAAGCTAAGCAGATTCGATACAAGTCTGCCCGCTACCTGATCATTAATGATCAACTCTACAAGCGCAGTTTTACCCTGCCATACCTAAGATGCCTTACACCTGCGGAGGCAGAAATTGTCCTTAGGGAAATACATGAAGGAGTCTACGGAGATCATGCTGGGTATCGATCCCTAGCACACAAGACTTTTTGCCAAGGATACTATTGGCCAACACTCTACCAAGATGCCATCAGAATATCTCGCTCATGCGATAAGTGTCAACGCTACGCAACTATCCCTCACTCCCTTCCCGAGCTGCTCACTCCTATGATCAGCCCTTGGCCCTTCGCCCAATGGGGACTTGATTTGATCGGCCCAATGCCTGCAGGGAAGGGCAAGGTCCGTTATGCAATCGTTGCAGTTGACTACTTCACAAAGTGGGCTGAAGTAGAACCCTTGGCAACCATTACTAAGGCAAAAATAGAAGACTTCGTATGGAAGAACATCCTCTGCAGATTCGGCATTCCCAATGCGATAGTCACGGACAATGAGCGGCAGTTCGACAACAAGAAGTTCAGGATGTTCTGCTCTAAGTTCAACATCAACTTATGTTTTGCCTCTCCAGCCCATCCCCAATCTAATGGACAAGTCGAGGCTGTTAACAAAATAACCAAGCGCACTCTGAAAACTAGCTTGGACAAAGCTAAAGGTTGTTGCCCAGAATTCGTACCCCAAGTTCTTTGGTCATACCGCACTTCATATCGGACTTCCACAGGAGAAACTCCATTCTCACTTGCTTTTGGTACAGAAGCAGTTGTCCCGGTTGAGCTTGAGCAAGCAACATACCGAATCCAGAACTACATGCAGAGTGAGAACGACAAACAATTCACCCTCAACCTGGATCTAGTCGAGGAACACAGAAATCAGGCTCACCTGAGGAATGTCGCCTACAAGCAGCGCATTTCCAACTACTACGACTTAAGGGTCAAACCTCGCTCTTTCAAAGTGAGAGACTGGGTACTGAAGAAAAGATTACTCTGTGATAGGGTCCCGAGTGAAGGAACACTCAGTCCTAACTGGGACGGACCGTTCGAGGTCGTCGGCATCAGCCGTCCTGGCTCCTACAAGCTCAGAAGCTCCAACGGCAAGACCCTTGGCCATCCATGGAATGCTGACCACTTGAAGTACTATTACAAATAGACTCACATTGTACAAGTGTTAAGCTACAGCCGTTCGGCATCCTATGTAACAAAGACCATTTGGTATGAATTCAATAAATAGGTGATTTAGCCAACTCGGCCCTAAACTCTTTTACATTTTGAGCAATGAAACACTCAAGTGTTGAAGCTTCAACGCAAATGTTTCCAATACAAAATAAAATCTAAGTATGTGTCAACAAGACTATACAAAGGATCTATGCAAACATAGCCAAACATTCATCAATGATAGGGCAAACACTTGAAGCTTGATAATACAAACACTTGCTTGATAATGCAAACACTCATAAACATGCAAAAAAAAAAAAAAAAAAAAAAAAACTCTCAGGCTTATAACATGGCACATGCCATACAAACAACAAACTAGTGCAGGTAGAGTACATGCATAAAGTGAAAGCACTTCTAGTCATCCTCATCTGAGGTTGAACCCCTGATCATATCACTCTGAGTCCTACCGCCATTTTCTGCATTTCCAAACTCATCATCACCCTGATGACTCTGCTCATCAGCACTAGCCTCATCGCCAGACTCATCTGCACTCCTAGAATAAACTGCAAGGTCGAAGGTTTCACCTTTTCGATGATGCTCATCTATTTCTTCACGGTATTTTCAAAGAACGCTTCCATCATCATAACGATCAAGGACAGCCATCCACTTCCTTTTTTCAAAGTGAACTTCCCGGGTACAGCGAGGTCTAAGAACATGGAGAAAGGCATGGGAACCCAAGAACTCCTTCACAGCAGCTTCCTTCTCAGTCGGGATACTACTCTTCAGCTCAGAAACCTCAACCAAGGCACTACCCAACTCCTCTTTAACCTTGGAAACCTCGAGCATAGTTGTCTTCAACTGTTTCTTAGTCGCCTCAAACTGTACCTTGAGTCTCAAGTTCTCACCATTCCGCCTCTTTAAACTCTCAAAATGTTGATCCTTGACTTGGATGGCCTCAGCCAAAGCTTTGCTCCTCTTCCTGGCATCATTCACAAGCTGCTTATTCTCTTTCAATTTCACCTTGCACCGCTCAGCCTCTCGCAGTCTGTCGTGATACTTAGCCATGACCTGCATGACAAGATGATCATCATTACTAAAATAATGCTAATAAAGAGGAGAAAACAAGGAAATGACAAAGTAACACTCACATATGAAGACAGCTTCAACATCCGGTCGCAATCCGATTCATCTTTAGCTAAGGGCTCTCTGAGCTCATCGAAAGTGAATCGACGCCCTGCCAGGCAATTGTTGATATACCCAAAGTCCTTTGGCCGCATGGCAACCTTCAAATCCTTCCAAGGGACACTGCCAACCTCTTCCTTATCTTTACCCTCGCTGCTAGAACTAGGATCACCTTTCTGCCCAATGTGCTCCCTAACTGGAGGAAAGATGGGATTAATAGTAGGAAGAGGAGGCAGCAATCGCCTATCTTCCCCGGCAACTATGGCAGCAGCATATCCAATGGCCTCAACTTTAGGCAGCAACCTTGAGGACTTCTTCTCGAGACTTAGTTTTAATGATTGGTCTCACTCGGTGCTTGCGAGCTTCCTTATGAAACAAGATGTCTTCTGAAGGAACTAACATGGGCACTCTCATTTTCTTGGTGCTAGTCTCCACTTTCTTGCCCACCTTCTCCACTGAACAAGAAAAATCAAAGTAAAGAATACCACATTATATATCTATAAAAAAAATTAAAAAAAAGTGAAGAACAAGGATCAAGTGAAGGATACAACTTACTCGCTCGTCTCTGGCACTCGGAAACTAAGGGCTGGAAACCGTACTTTCGAAACAAGGGTCGTAGCTTATCCAAGTGTCTATCTTCTTTGGGCACCCTCAGCACTTTCTCTACATCAGCTAGCTCATGTCCGCAGAGTTTGATGGTGCCTCGTGTCACTACATGAAGAAAAATCTTGAGTTTGATGGTGCCTCATGTCACTGCATGAAGAAAAATCTTAGAAGCAAGAGAAAATCACAACAATAGCAAATAATGAGAAAATGGATACATTACAACCTACAGTCTGGAAGTGAATAGGAACACGTCGCTCAGGCGTGACACCCTTAGCATGCTCCCAATCATTATAAAGAAAGCACCAACGTTTCTTCCATGTGCAGTACGCCTTTCTCTTATCAAAGACAACACACTCTCTCTCGCTCCGACATGCACATTCGGCATAACCAGTACATGCTTTCACCGGGCGCATCTTATAATAGTAGCGCCACTGATGGAAGGAAGGCTTACCTAATCCACACTCCATCCAAATAATATAAACCCGATCAAAGTATCCCATAAACCAGGGTTGAGTTGCCCAGGTGCATAACCAATAAAAGACAGCATCCGTTGCAACCACAGATGCAAAGGTAAATTTACCCCCAAGGTCACTAATGTCTGGGTATAGAACATAACATGACCCTTGGTCGGTTCAAAAGGCAATTCTTCACAACGCACCAAACGTATTCCTACACTACAGGGGATACTACATGATCGCCTTAGGGCCTCAAGCTGCTTTTCGGTATCTAATAAGTTATTTTCTAAATGGTCCGCTATGAACTCAGAGTGAAATATGGGTATGGCGTCACAAACAATCCCCTCACCCACTAGCATGGAGGAAGAACCAATATTGGCTAAGGTTTGACAATTGTTCTGCAGTTAGTGTTTTCTTATTCATTTTTGCCCCTTCAGATGACACGGTTCACTTATTGTTTGTACCTCTTATCTGAATCTAGTTCACTTATTGAAAATTGTCATTTGCTTTTATTGCTTTGCTGTCACAGTTTACATCCGGGCACCAAAAGATGGAACCAGTTATAAAAGGTTGCCAAAGTCTAGTGCTATCAAGGTTATTGATTTTGGCAGCACAGCCTATGAGCATCAAGAGCACAAATACATTGTGTCGACAAGGCACTACCGGGCACCTGAGGTTATTCTGGGTATGCTATTACTATGCTTTCTGTTATCTTGCGAATCATTTGCATTTTGAATATTTGCTATCAATTTATCTCTTAACATTCATAAGATTGTTAATATTTACAGGACTTGGATGGAGTTATCCATGTGACATATGGAGTGTTGGTTGCATCTTGGTAGAGTTGTGTTCGGTATGTCTCTGAATTATATTGGTCCATCAGTCTCCGCCAGATTTCTGGATTAGAACAAAATGTATAGAATTTCTGAGAAAAAAAGAACGAATTTCTTTACAGGGAGAAGCTTTGTTTCAGACACACGAGAACTTGGAACACCTAGCTATGATGCAACTTCTCGAGTGTCACACCGGACCACACAAGTGTCACTTGATTAATTAATTATACCATAAGAACATGAAAGCAGATAAATTAAATCAGTTGTATTCAATCGTAATCATAACAAGAAAACATGTCTTCTTTATTTTCTTAATTTTGAGAAAATTTCATTGGGACAAGGTTCTCTTAGAGATGGTGAGGGAAAGGGATTCACTTGTGTCTTCCATGTCGATATCTTTGTCCTTCATTCCATAAGGAAATTTCCAATCGAACCAGTAGAGAAGATTTTGCAAGTCCAAGGTCTACCGTTTTTGTTGCAATGTACATCTCAGGATCTTCGACCAACCTCAAACAGCTGAAACTCAAAATGTTTTTAAAATGTTGTCGAACTGAGATTCCAATCAAACCTTTGGGACAAACTCTTCGACCAGCTCCAAATGGCAGAAACTCGGGGTCCCGTGAGATTGATAAAGTTTGTGTCTTTTGTATGTTTTGATTCACTGTTTGATTAGTTTTCTAGGGATCTGAAATGAACAAGAGAAATAAGGAATGTTGCAGGTTTGTGACGGCTACATGGCTATGCAAATGCATCAGCCATATTTTGATTTATATAGAGAATGTTTGTAGGGCTTTGGTACATTGCCAACTAACAAACTTATCTCTAAATGTGCTAGGAGACAAACATGTACTATGAATTACACTTACCCTTCTCCAAATTTAATCCTAGCCCTTCATTGGGGGTTTAAATGATCTAATCTGGAGTGTACACGTGTCACTCATTTACACAAACAAAAGCTTTAAACAAAACTAGCCGTTCGAGTAAAAACCTTTGTTCTTCTTCTTCGATTATGCAGCAACTCATTACTTGGAGCTTCACTTGCTATCTTCGATCCTTGGAACCATAAGCAATTTAGGTTCCAACACTCCCCTCCAAATTGGTTATGGTTGTCATGCCAAGCAATCCCCCTCAAGTAATTGAATCTTTCCTTTGGAAGAGCTTTTGTGAAAATGTTTCCGATTTGATCTTCTGTCTTACAGTAGTGTAGCTTGATTGTATTCTCTTGTAATGCTTCTCTGATGAAATGATATCTCCTCTTTATGTGCTTTGTTCTTTGATGAAAAACTGGATTTTTAGTCATGGTGATTGATGAGGTGTCACACAGAAGTGGTGTGGCATCAACCTGCAATTCCCCAACGTCTTTGAGTATGAATCTTAGCCAGATGGCTTGAGATGTTGCCTCTGAGGCACTCACATACTCTGCCTCAGCTGTGGACAGTGCAACACTTTGTTGTTTCACTGATGCCCAAGAGAAAACCCCTGAACCAACAGTGAATGCATAACCTGATGTGCTTCTGCAATCATCTTCACTGCCACCCTAATCACTATCACAAAATCCTATTAGGATAGTTGATTTCCCCATTTCATACTTGATTCCATAGTCAAGTGTCCTTTGCACATATCTCAACACTCTCTGAGCAGTTCCCATGTGAAGAACCCCAAAGAAAAGAAAAGGGCTAACATGCATATCCAGTTGCTTTGAAAACGAGTTCAGTGACCTCAAACATCAGAGGCTTAAGTGGTGTTCCAACTTATAACAAATGTTAATTAAAAACATAATCATTTCTGTTTTGTTAGAAAAGATTTAACTAATTAATACTCTACTTGTAAAGAACACTTCGACATTACAAACGAATCACTTTAGAATATATGTCAACCTGTGATTTGTAGTGTTTTATTCAATTTAAGACGAGAACAGAGTAATAGTACACATTCACACAAGGATATACAATATACAGTACAAGTGCCACATTATTAATTAACTACACCATAAGAACAAGAAACATATCAACTGAATTCTACCCAATCTTAAACCATAACAAGAAACAGGTCTTCCCCAATCCTCCGTTAATTTTTTTTCTTAATTTTAAGAAAATTTCATGGGTACAAGGTTGAGAGGAGTTCTCTTAGCAACGGTGAGGGAAAGGGAGCCACTGGCTTCTTCCATGTCAAGATCTTCCTCCTTCATTCCATCAGGCAATTTCCAATCGAACCAGTAGAGAAGATTTGCTAGTCCAAGCTCCACTGTTGTCGTTCCCATATAGATTCCAGGGCAAACTCTTCGACCAGCTCCAAACGGCAAAAACTCAAAATGTTGTCCTTTGAAATCGACAGAGCTTCCCTCAAACCGTTCTGGAATAAATTTTTCGGGGTCCCTCCAAACCTCAGGGTCGCGTGCGATTGCCCAGTCATTGATATAAATTGTTGTTTTTGGTTCAATATTATAACCTTGGATTTTGCAATGGGAGATGGTTTCTCTTGGAAGGAGCATTGGAGCTGGAGGATGCAGTCTTAGGGTTTCTTTGATTACCATCTTGAGGTATTGAAGCTGATCTGTATCAGTTTCTGTGATTTTTCCTTTGTTTCCGATGCATTTTCTGACTTCTTCTTGTGCTTTCTTCATCAATTTAGGGTTCTTAGCTAGCTCTGCCATCGCCCACACCATTGTTATTGTACCTGTGTCTATTCCACCTAAAAATAGATTCTGATTCACAATTGCAACATCATAGTAAGAAAAATAATTGAAAAATAAAGTAGAAAAATGATGCATAAAAAAATAATTGCAACATCATACTTTTCTCTGTGTGCATACCATGCTTACTTTTTTTTTTTTTAATTTTTTTTAATTATTTTTTTTATTGGAAAACATACCATGTTTACTTTTGTTCTTTTATTCTTGCAACAAAATGGGACATGAACTAAATTTTTTCCTTTCCTTTTTTCACAAAACTGGACAAATAATTTTTTGGGGTTATAAAAGAATAACTTTTACTGTTTTCTAAATGGGCACTAATTAAGGAGTCACTTAACACTAAAGTCTAGTTGTATTCTTTTTCACCTGTATATGAGAAGTCTTAGATTCAATTATCGCCAACGCCAAATTTGAATCAAATAATTACTAGTCTATTGTGAGGCTCGGCCTACTTCCTCGCTTCCTTCCTTGTAGATAATATGGTTGGTTCAAAAAAATAAAAAGGCACCAAGGGGAAAGGGGTTCAAACTTTTGTCTGCATATAAAATAATTCTCAAACAAATAACAAATTAACACAAAATTAATAACCACAAGAGGTTATTTTAAGAGATTAATTACCAAGAGAACTGCCTTGATGTTGTTGTGACCAAGATGAGAGGCTCCAAACTCACTTTGCTCCTTCACTATCTTTAGCAGAACGTCAACTATATCTTCATGAGCTTGTTCGTCGTCAACTCTCCTCCCAGGTTTCAGATGATCATCAATCACCTGCTGGAAAAAACCATCCAACTCCTTGGAAATCCTATCGAACTCCTTGTGCAAACCGGAAGCCATATCGATAACCCACCCCATCCAAGACAGAAAGTAGTCAGCCCCGGGCATCCCTCCGAGCATGACCTCAGTATCCTGAATGAACTCATCAATATTTTTATGCTCAAATTTACTCCCTTGGAAAGTTGTCCCGTAAGCAATCCTAAAAATAATACTAGCCGTGAGAGCAACCAACTTTTCGGTAAGATTAACAGGAGCACCAGAAGATGAAGAGGCAGAGATTGAATTGACCATTTCATCTACTTCTTCTTCCCTGATTGACCTGTATGCAGTGGCGGATCCACAGTGAGGTCATTGGGGTCGCGCGACCCCTTAGAAGCCATGGAAGCAACCTTAGAGACCCCTTGGACTGGTGGTGCGACCCCTGGTGCGACCCCGTTCGCTGCACACCAATTGTTCGACGAAAGGTCGTCGGTCTGGGTAGGTTGGATGAAGAAGACGAAGGCGCTGTGGCGCCAGTTTGTTTTTAAAAAAAAACTGGGCAAAACGACGTCGTTTTGGCCCAGGAATTGTTTTTAAATGACCTGGCCAAAACGACGTCGTTTTGGGCCAGGTTTAAACAAAAAAAAAATGCCCAGCGTGTCCTGGGCAGGTCTGAACAAAAACAAAAATACCAAGCGTGTCCTTTCGACCTTATTTTGCACGGAGCCTTATTTTTGTGCCTTTGCTAGTGGAACCGAAAGGCTCTGCTTTTTATTTTATTTTTTCATTGTTCTTTGCAGATGTAGAGCTGGAATGTAGGATTTTGAACAAGGATTTTGGAGTAGCTGGTCGCGCTATCCTACCAAGACCCGATGAAATGACGATATGCATGCCGTTTCTGTTAAAAAAAAAATTCGCGCTGCGCGCGCTATCCTTAATGACCCCCCAAACATTATTTCCTGGATCCGCCACTGCCTGTATGAATGGACCCTCTTCACGCTGAAAAGCTCGAGCACGCATATTTTTCTTATCTCTCTCCAGTAATCGCCGCCATAGGGAGAAAAGGCCATGTCAAGATAGTTGTACGTGAGCCTGCGGGCTCCGGCCGAGGAGGGTCTGCTGCTGCAGTGGAGGTCGTTGGTTTTTAATGCGTCTTTGGTTGCTTCGGCGGAAGAGATGACGAGGGTGGGACACGGCCGAGGTGGAGGAGCATGACTGGTCCGTACTTTATGGAGAGTTGGTGGAGAGATTTGTGACGTGGGGTGCCGAGTTGGTGCAAGTTGCCTATGAGGGGGAGCTTGGGGGGGCTTGGTGGAAAGGTCTTTTGCTGTGGGTTCTTATAGACATTTTTCCGCTTTTGGAGTAGAAGAAATAGAGGGAGAAGAAGGAGAAATGGAAGGCATATGAGCAAGGAGGTGATGATAGCCATTGGAGGTTCTATCAATGATATGTTATTATTTTTCTGGAGATTTTGTCCATCATATATAAGCTCTGGTGATCCAAATATCTAGCTATATATGGCTGACTTTGGGAACAAACGACAGAAACGTCGATGAAAATTATCACTCATGTAAATTGTCGTAGGCAAGGTTCTAAAAGACGCTAGGTGCTAGTCGAGAAGCGGGCTGGGGCCTAGCGCCTAGACAGACTAGACGGATTTAATTAAATCTATTATATTTCGTGTACATAAGTGTCTGTTTATACTTAAAATATATATAATTTCATCATAACCTACAAAATAGAATGACAAATATATTATGAGCTATTGGAACATAATGAAAACATGGGGAACAAACATATAATGTGTGTTCATTTAAGTATTCAGCAAGTCTCTTACAATTTATTGAAAAAAATAAAATGC